CCAGGAAAAAAGAAGCCCAAGGATATATAACAAGCCGTCTGAACTATTGAACTAAGGTAATATTTGCAGAACAACCTAATTGCTGCATGCAGTCTCCTTGCTAGGTCTGGCTGATAACCTAGGACACTGATTAATTCTCTGCACAAATTCCTAAGCTCAGTTTTATGATACAGGTATGTAACCTGAACACTCATAACTGTATTTTATGCAGTAATTTGACTTAATACCCTCAGACAGGGTTACAAGTTTCCTCTTTATTGGTCTAAAGTTACACACATTTTAAGATTTAAAAACACTTTCAGTGTTTCTGTGACCTTGGAGAGTGCCAACTGAGCTGATATTAACAGAATTTCAGTACCCTGAGCCCAAGTCTTAGGACATGCTGACAGACTCAGAGAGTGAAACAACCCTGCACTCTCTGAGTCCCTAACCCCAAATTTACAATTTCTCATTACAGAATGTTAGTTTTAAAGGTTACTTAATTGTAAATCAGTTTAAATTGGCTTTTCACTGCCTGGGAGAATATAGGGCAATAGGTCAAAGTGGCTAATAACTCAGGTAGGGTGCAAGTACACAATTTTCTCATTTTCTTGGACTCTCCAGCAGCATAGGTTTATGACTCTTTTAAAATTTCTTATAAGATTACCTCTCAAGATAGGTAATTAAGTGACTGGTTCCTTCTTTGCAGCTGCAAGTTATAACCCACCAATTATGGTGTTGAGTGGGAAAAACAGTCCTTCCTTGCTCTGTGACTATTTATGAGTTGTCAGGATGACTCCTTTTTTTTTTTAATCATTTACTTAAGAAATGGAATGTGATCTTACATGTAACTCCTATATTTCCTGAAAGATTTTATGGGGTATAAATAGCGTGGAGACCAAAGAAAGATGGACAATCTTGAAACATGAGAGAATGAAGTAGGAAACCATCAGGAAAGCGTTTGAGTGTCTCCTTCCCTCAAATCCCTCAGATAGAAAAGTCCCTGTGGATTTCTTCCAATAGCTTGGGCAGGCTAGGTGCTGGCTCTCCATAGACTGCAGTACAAAGACAAGGAGGAAGGGGCACGACAACATGGGCTTCCACTCACCGAAGCTGACCTGGCTACAGCTGCCGCTGAGTGCTAGGTCTTCCAACAGCAGAGACCAACCCTGAGCCCCAGATATTATGGTGGGGTATCCACCAGCGAAAACTCCAGACATAGGTTTAAGCCAATAGAAAGTCTTTATTATACAGGATCCCGGTATAGCACCAAACCTTTCTCAGGGTGAGCTTTGAAGTATGAGAAAACATGTTTTGAATTGATATACTTTAGTTAACAAGAACAGTTATCCAGAAATGGAACTATAGAAGCCAAAAATTAAGGTTAATAGATAATAGATACTTTCCCAGAACAATTAACTTTGATGGATTAGGTATTTGTTTTCATTTTTGGCTTGGTGGGGCTGAGTGCTGGGTTTTATAGACTGAATGGCACTTCAGTCATGGAGTCAGTTGTGCTAAGGGCTGGGTGCCTGTTTCAGTATGGCACCATTTCCCAGGATGAACATTTAACTACCTGGTGGCAGGTTGCCTACATTGGAGCACTTCTTTCATGGACAGAAAAATGCTTTGTCCTTACTGAATATTTATTCTGGTTATGGATTTGCCTTTCTAATACGTAATGCTTATGCCAAAACCACAGTCTGTGGACTTACAGAATACCTTGTCCATCATTAATGGTAATGGTATTCCACATAGCATTGCTTCTGATAAAAAAAACTCACTTAAAAGTCAGAAAAGTGCAACAAAAGGCCAATACTCAAAGAATCCATGGGTCTTAAAATGTTCCCAACCCCCTGGAGCAACTGGTTGGATAAAATGAAGAAATGGCCTTTTGAAGACATAGTTACAATACTAACAGGATAGCCATAACCTGGAGAACTGGAGTAGGCTCTCTACTAGGCAGTATATGCTGTGGTCCAGCCAGTCCACCAATGGCTGTCTCCCAATGGAAAGTCCAAGAATTCAGTAGTTGTCTCAGTTCACAAGACTGGATGCCTCAGCTGGTCTTCAATATTTGTCAGAATCCTGAAGAAGCAGACTAATACCAGTGAAGCGAGAGAGAGGGGAAGCAGACAAAGAGAAAAACCTTCTTTCTTCCTTGTCCTTTAAAATCCCTCATGGGTGTGATGCTCAGGTTCTGGTTGACAAAGGAATTTGGTAATCAGCTAGGCCAGACCACTGTGGATCTGATAGGCAAACTTATCCCCACTCCCAAAATGTGGGTAAGGGAGCAGATGGACAGCAATGACATGAAGCTGGTTGCCTCCAGAAGCAGAAAACTTCACAATGGGGGGAGTCTGCCTACAGAACACTTGTGTGTGACCTTGTAGACCTCAGAACCCACGCAGGGACACTTGTGAATGAGTCCACCCAGCAACTAGCTGCACTAGATTATTTGATGACATCCAACAGGTGACTGGATGTGCAGTGTGTAGGTTTCCACGACAACATCAGGGCTGCAAATTGAAGAGCATTTTAAATAATCTAGTCAGAAACTCTCCACCCATATGCTGTCCATAACCACCATTTCTCATCAGTCACTTTGTTCTTCTCTTCTCAACTCCACAGTTCCACTCCTCCCCTTTTCTCTCTCTGGCAGTATAGTCAATAAAGATCACTCCTCCCGGGATTCTCAACCCAAAGTCCTTAGATATTCCACATGCATTTCAGCTCTTTAATGGGGGGAGATTGTTTGATCATACTCACACACTGAGTCCCCTGGGAGTCCTAGCATTTGATGCCACCTCTTCCTAGTCACCCCATCCTAAGGCCATTCCTATACTTGAGGTTATCATCCCTTAGACAAGATTACAGCATTCCTTCAATCAGCACCTCAGGATCCTCATGGATCCAATTTCTGCCCTACCCATCAATTCATCTCTACCTCCCTTGCACACTCCATATAACTATAGAGATCTTCCTCCTCTCTCTCTGTCTCTGTCTCTCTCTCTCTCTCACTCGTGTGTGTGTGTGTGTGTGTGAGAGAGAGAGAGAGAGAGAGAGAGAGAGAGAGAGAGAGAGAGAGAGAGAGAGAGAGAGAGAGAGAGAGAGAGAGGGAGGGAGGGAGGGGTAGTGTTCACTGTGTAGCTCTGCCTGGCCTGGAACTCTGTATGTAGACTAGGCTGGCCTCAAAGTTTTAGAGATCTGCCTGTCTCTGCCTCCATAGTGCTGGAATGCTCGCCACTACTCCCTGAAGTCCTAGACTCTTTGAACAAAGAGAAATCATTTCCTAAATTGAGGTTTATCCTTGCTTCTTCTGCTCTTTCCACAGGCAGCTCTTTTTTATCCACAAACATCAGCTAAAAGTGAATTCTTTAACTTCAAGACCTTACTTGTTCACTCTTAATGATCCTATTTCTGTCCTCCATTTTGTCTCTATCAAATAACCCTGTTTGTCCACTTAAGAGACTGCTACCTCATTTCTAAGGAACTGACTTTATGTCCCTTTCTAGCTCATATCTTGCTGCTGGTAGAGATAACATTGGCCTTGGGTTGGCTTTATGAATCTGTCAGTTCAGAGATCTACAGTGAAATCACTTAAGAAGAAGTGCCCATGTGAGTCCACTTTGAAGACCAAAGTAGTTGAAATCTGGTGTCTGCAGGACATAGCAACAGCAAAGGTCACACCCACTCAAGAAAGATCAATCCTGCCTGCTGCTAAACTTTTGGTTTTTTTGTTCCATCTGGGCTCCCAGGCTATCAGAGAGTGCCATCTATAGGCAGGGAAGATCTTCTCCCTTGGTTAACTGATCCATATGCCCAACATTCAAGGAAACCCCCCCAAAAGGCACACTGAGAAATGTGCTTACAAATTTTCTAGGGGTCTCTCAATCCAGTGACATTGACAGGCAAGATGAGCCATCATCTCTGAGGTCAGGTGGCAGCATGAGCAGGATCTTCCTGAGCATTCTCTTCCTCTTCCTACCTCCTTGATAGTTACCTTCTTACTGTGTTCCCACATGGGAGGAGAGAGAGAGAGAGAGAGAGAGAGAGAGAGAGAGAGAGAGAGAGAGAGAATGATGGAGAATGCCAAAGATCAAACAGGCTTTGGAAACACAGTCAAGGTATTAATTTTATTGATAAATGAAGTGAGATCCAAGAGAAGTAAATTAAAGTCATTCATATACTAACCAAGTCATCAAAGTTGAGAGGAAACCCCAGGTCCATCAATGTCAAGTTTTGTTTCTTTGACTCTACAATGTGCATGTCACCATATTTAGTGACAAACCTTATTGATTTCACGCACAAAATCACATCTCTGAGTTGTACAGGTTAGGCATATTATTGGCCTAATTTTAATTTTGGCAACACACACTGCTTATATAGCTTACTTTGTTTATATTGCTTGACAATTAACAGCTTCCATTACCATGTCACTTTCATGAAACATGGCAAATGTTTCTCATTGTTTTTATGTTGTTTCTGTGATCCATTGATAGGTCACATTATCTCTGTTCTTTGTTATCCATGGTACAGAAACTGTATTGTCAGCCATTCCATTTTATCCCAATTGCTTCTAGGTAGGAGGAAAATATCATTGAGTGGTTTGCCATTGGGTTTGACCATATAATTTGTGGTACTAAATGGAATGGATATAAACAATATTTTACTTTTGAGAAGCAGTGATTCATCATGGGTTTTGCGCATGTTCTTTTCTTCTGTTATAGAAGATGTAGTCCACCCTAATGCTTCAGGGTTGATGTGAGATAACAGAAGGTGACTCCCAACCTAGAGCTAACAAACAACAAATAAATGTTTGCAGTTATAATTCACAAAGGTTATTGAGGTGGGCTTTTTTGGTGTTGTACCTTAGTGTAGCCACCTTGGTTTCCCAGTGGTTTTTCTACTCACCAATTAGAATGCTGGTTCAAATGCACAGGTCAGTTATGTAAATAAACACGCTGTTCCTTTCTTAAACAGAGAATACTCTACTCCAGCTTCTCCTGGATTCTGGTTCACTAGTTCACTCTCCCATTCCTCATCACCTTGAGTAATGCTTTCTTGATGTCTTTGTTCCTCATACTGTAGACCATTGGGTTGAGTAAGGCTGTGAAGACATTGTAAAAGAGTGAGATCTGCTTGTCTCTCTCAGGGGAGTAGCTGGAGTTGGGCCTCATGTAGATGTAAGAAGCTGGACCATAGAAGAGTGTGACCACAGTTAGGTGGGAGGCACAGGTAGAGAAAGCCTTGCAGCGACCCTGTGTAGACTTGATCTTGAGAATTGTCATGACAATACGAATGTAGGAGGCCACAATCAGACAAATGGGAGTAACAATCAGAAAAACACTCAAGACCAGGTCTACCATCTCAGTGAGTTGAGTATCCATGCAAGCCAGGCTAAACACTGAAGGACCTTCACAGAAGTAGTGGTTGACCTTGTTGGGCCCACAATATGGAAGACTCATGGTGTAGAAAGTATGTAACAAAGCAGAGAGGAAACCACAGACACAAGACCCAGCTGCCAACTGTATGCACAGTCCCCAGTTGAGGATAATGGTATAACGCAGTGGGTGGCAAATGGCCACATATCTGTCATAAGCCATGACAACAAAGAAGATACACTCAGTTATACCTAGGGCACTAAACACATACATCTGCAGCCAACATCCAGCAAATGAGATGGTCTGAGAGTGAGCAAGAAGATGCACCAACATCTGCGGCATGGTGGTGGTGACATAGCCCATATCTAACAGGGAGAGGATGCAGAGGAAGAAGTACATGGGCATATGCAACTGTGTGTCCATGCAGATCAGCATGATGATGAGCCCATTGCCCATGACTGAGCTCAGGTAGATGAGAAGGAACACAGTGAAGAGGATGCTATTGGTAGTAGGGTCTCTGGAGAGGCCAAGCAGGATAAACTCAGAAACCCAGCTTTGGTTCTGCCCTGGAATCATCCACATGGTGCAGGCTGTAAGAGAATGACATTCATCTATGTGTCACCTGTCACATGTCAGCTGTAGAGGCAGAAAGGAGAGGTACAGGCTGTTGAATGGCTCAAAGGTTAAGAGCACTGACTGCTGTTCCAGGGGACCAGACATGTCATAGCTTTCAGTAACTCCAGTTCCAGGGGACCTGACTCCCTCTTCTTACCTCCCCAGGCCAGAGAGACACATGCCACACAAGCATATATGTAAGCAAAAACTCATAGACATAAAATAATAGTCTTTAATTTAAAAAGAAAGACTGGGTGTGGTTCTGAGTACACTGTTCAGTTTCTGTGCACTCTTCTCAAGTAACTGAACCTCCCAATGCAGTCTCTTCATCTATCAAATGAGGCTGATGATGCTCATGTCTCAGGATTATGATGAATATCTAGAGCAGCTCACATATTCCTGGAAACACCACAGAAGACATCACCTGTCGCATGCAGTTCCACACTGTCCTTCCAGTTCTGGGAAGGTAGAGATAGGGATGCACAGGGTTCAACTGAGAAGCAATGCCTCAATGAAGAAGGTGAGAGCCACTGAGAAAGGATCTCCTCTCTCTCTCTCTCTCTCTCTCTCTCTCTCTCTCTCTCTCTCTCTCTCACACACACACACACACACACACACACACACTACTGAAGGCATTAGCTGCAAACTGCTTTTCTTTTAGGGGCAGGAGTTTGTTTGACTTCCATTTTGAAGTGCCAGCCATTTGTCTGCATTCACAATTTTCCATGTGACTTTTGCAGCAACTTTTCAAATTTTCACATTGGTTCTATTTGGCCAATGCTGAAAGCCTTTTACGAGCTCCCATGCCCCATCATTTGAAGAAAGTGAGCAGTCCTTCCTAACCTGCTTGCTCTGTGAAGACTAAGTCTCATCACACAACCGACTCCTCCATCTCCTCTCCCTCCATTCACAAATCCCCATGAAAGCACTCCTGGTATTCTGCACCCTCTGCCACTTTCACACCTTAGAAATTGCCTAGCCTCTCTTCATGGAGCAGGAATCTGCAGTATGTTGCCCAAGCTGTAGCCACAGCAGGACTCAGCTAGGCCAAGAAGTTACAACCTCCTACCCCTTAGCCCTGGTAGGATACTTTCTGCATCTTTTGTTCATAGGCCAGTTACAATCTGAGGAGTCCTAGGGGGGGTCTGATGTCTATTTTCACAACAAACAAAAAGGAAAAACTTTTCTTATTCTCCTGTTAACTGAATCCCCACAGAATTAAGAAAGAATTATATCTGAGAGAGTGTTAACTGTATGGGTGATTTCTTAACATTTGCAGTAACAAAAAGAACTAGTATTATTGCATAATTTGTATATTCCAGCCATTGTTCCTCTAAATTTAGCTCAACCTCACAACAGTTCACTGGATGATATAATCTTACCTGTGTGTTATATGTGAAAACCTAACGTACTTTGTTTAAGATTGCAAGCTCAGCATGGGAGAAGAGGGAGTTTAGGTAGTATGGCTACAGAGCCTGGCTCTCAGCCACCTTCCCTGCTTCTGGCACACAGGCTCTGAAGTGGGGAGGTAAGGAAGACAAGGTCTTCACATTGTCCATGTAGTTGAGTTTATGGAGACTCAGCACATCCAGAGCCCTCCTAGGACAGAGCTGGATTGATAGACTTAGGCCAGCTCTCTTGATGAGATGTATTCAAAGTAGAAGAATTTAAGGAACGAATATTTGAGGTATGATGATTTCTATAACATGGGACACCATTTAGTCATCCGAAGCCTGTTACGGTTTCTCTGTTCAGTGGCCTCTGACTTCCCTCACTGTGATCCGGCAGGACAACTGCCCCAAGTCTGTGACCGCAAATCACAAAGACATCAGGGTTGAGTTCCAAACCAGAAAAGGATATACATGGTAGTCCCAACCTAGGAAATACTCAACTATACAGTGAGTTTGAGGCCAAATCAGGCTATAGCAGATACACCTCCAAAAGAAAAAACCCAAAACAAAATAATCTTTGCTCTGCTCATAAAGTGCATCAGGCTGTGTCTCCATGGTATGGGAAGGCTCCTTCAACGATATTGATCACAATGTTCTTCCAGGCATATGGCTTTCTGCTTCACTTGAGACTCTTGAGCCTGGGACTCAATATTCTTTATTTTTTACATGTTTTGAAACAGACAAACTCTCTGTAAATATTATTAATTTAGTAAGTTGGGGAGGAAAAAGGAAGTGAGGACACGAGGTTGGGAAGAGAGGAAAGAAGAGCAGGCAATGAGGAAAGAGGTCTGGGGAGTTTGGAATGTTTGCACAGAGGACCTGGAGATGCATGGCTTGACTAATTATTATCTCTAGACCCACAGATGCCTGAACCACACCACAAGCCAAACACCAGTGACCTGTCCTCACCACTTGTAAATCCAGGGATTGTGTCACAGAGTAGCAGTTTCTTGCTCTCAGGAAGAAGCCCCACAAAGCAACTGAGTCCAGAGCGAAGGGATTCTAGGTAGCTCAATCTCCAGAAAAATTCCAAGGTGCTGTAGGGTTGGAGGGTTGAATCTCTCACTTCTTCTGAAAGTGGACCAGCCCCAGCTTCTGAAGATAACCCCTATACAATCCTGCTTAACAAAGGCAAACTCACACATCTTCGTCTCTTCCCAGTGAGTCCAGATTCTGTGGTTTTATTACCCTGCCTCCTCTCTGAGCCTCCTCAGGAGAGCTGGGAAAAGGCCATTTCTATTCCTAGTAGGGTTCAGGGTTGATACCTGGATGCTGGCAACAAGATTACTACAAGGGAGACCCTTGGGGGCAGGGCAGGAGGAAAAACCCACAGGAGGAGGAGTGGTGACCTGTTTCCTTTTCTAGACTAATTGGGGAATAAGAGCAGCTCAGAGAAGAGGAGGTGGGACCTGGTCATAGGATACACCACAGGTCAAGGACCTAAGTTCTCATTCTGATTCCTCTTTTACTGCCCAAACCCTGAGACCTGACCCTCAGTGAGAGCATGTGTGAGTCATACTACTTTCCTTAACTAACTTGGGGAAAATCAAAGTCCTCTTTTCTTTGTTGTGTAATATCTGAGCAGGTTACTTATCATGAAACAATCCATTTGTACAATGTGAAGATGTGTCACTTGGATTGATTTAACAAAAAGTTGAATAGCTAGACAGAATTTTCAGTGCAGAGAGGACACTGAGAAGAAGGCAGAAATGCCAAGAGATGGAGAAGAAGCAAGGTGTGCAGGAGAGGACAGCTGCGAGTCACAAGGCAGCATACAGATTAAATAATAAGGTTTAATTTGCATTATAAGATCCAGGTAGAAACAAGTTCACTCTATTTGCCTTGCCTTTATAATTAATAAAGTCTCCACATCACGATTTGGGAGCTGGCTGGCAGGACAGAGACAGACTTGAAACAGTTACCAAGTCACTCTGGTACTAACGAAGAATCAACAGCAATGGGGGCTATGAGCAAAAGTGGAGTTGCTGCACTTTCAGAACACCCAGTTTGGTTCCCAGCACCTAACATGGAAGCTCACAAGCCATACATATCTCCAGTTCTAGAGGATCTGGTGCCATTCTCGGACCTCCCCAGGGACCAGGTATGCATGTGCTGTACATGACAAAAGCAGGTAAAATGATTGTATAAACAAACAAACTAAAGGAGCCCAGCATGGCATAGCCACATGGAAGTCAGTGATAACATCCTCATGACACTGGAGGGAGAAAAGTCTCTGAGAGGTTCCTGGCTCTTGGATGCAAATAAAAATTTGGGTCCAAACATATCAAGCTCTGGAGCATGTTCTCTTGAACTAGCTGTTATTCTGACTCATTGGCCTCTTTTGTAGAATTCCAACAGTATAACCTCTTCCCTTCTAGGGTGGCTAGAGGAATAAATGTGATGATGTCAGCATCCTGCCACAAATTTTGGCCAGTGTTTCACGGCCTCAGTTTTCCATCCCTGCCTTCTGTCTGTGTCTTGGTTTCCTAAGGATTTAGAAGGAGAAAATTGACTATAAAGTCTTCCTGCTGAGAGTGATTGATTGATAAGGGGTTAGAATTCCTGGGAGCTGCTTCTTAAACACAGACAATAGTAAAGGTCAATTATAAAATGACAAATAAATTGTATTGGAAGCAAAGACAGTGTGCCTAGGAATGTAGCTCAGTGTATAGTTACTAAATAGATAGAATGCTTGAGACTGGAGTCTGAATCATAGCAAAAAAAGGTGAAGACAACAAAAGCTCCCCCTCCCTCCCCTCCTCTCCCGCCTCCACCAACCCCCCAACCCCTCACCCAGTCCCCACTCCACTCTCTAGGGGGGATGAGGCCCTTCACAGGGGATCTCCGAAGTCTGTCATATCATTCAGGGCAGGGCCTAGGCCCTCCCCCATGTGTCCAGACTGAGAGAGTATCCCTCCACATAGAATAGACTCCCAAAGTCCATGTGGATGCCAGGGATAAATACTGATCTATTGCCCAAGGCCCCAAAGAATGCTGAGATCTCCTCACTGACACCCACGTTCAGGGGGTCTTGATCAGTTCCATGCTGGCCTCTCAGCCATCAGTTGGGGGTCCATGAGCTCCCCTTTCTTCAGGTCAGCTGTTCCCATGGATTTCACCAGCCCAGTCTTGACCCCTTTACTCATCACTCCTCCCTCTCTGTAACTGGTTCCCAGGAGTTCAGTTCAGTGCTTAGCTGTGGGTGTCTGCCCCTGCTTCCATCAGCCATTGGATGAAGGCTCTAGGATGGCATATAAGGTAGTCATCAGGCTCATTATTGGGGGAGGGCATTTAAGGTAGCCTCTCCACTATTGGTTAGTTTGCCAGTTGGTATCATCCTTGTAGATTTCTAGAAATCTCACTAGTGCCAGATCTCTCCTCAAACCTGTAATGGCTCCCTCTATTATGGTATCTCTCATCCTGCTCTCCTCTGTTCTTCCCCTGACTCAACCTTCCTGCTTCCCATGTCCTCCTCTCCCCTCCTCTTCTCCCCCTCTTTCTCTGAGTTCCCTCTCCCCTCCCCCATGCTTCCACTCCCCTCAGGAGATCCTGTCCAGTTTCCCTT